GATTGGGAGTCTCTACTTCATGGGATTAACGTTCTGACATTTTGTTGGTTTTCCAGTCTGTTCAGCCAATCAGAGAAGAGAGAACCGCATGGTGCAATTGACTAGTATTTCACTTCTCGCTTCCCGGTCTTATCTGGATTTTGATTGGTCAATCAAACAAGAACATCACGAAAAGATGTCAACAGTTTATGAAAGAAACTTTTATTTAAGAACGGCTGCCTAATCTGCAATTTCTTTGACTTCAAACAAACCATTATGAAAGATGTTGACCAAACAGAACATGAAATTTGCCGTTTTAGATTGCATTTTCTATCCTTCAATTATTAATCTTATTATTTTAACAATTTTCATTATGACGGCTTAGCATTATCTTCTTTCTTTTTTCTTCCGCGTTTCTTTGGTGCCCGCGTTCTTGATCCAGCGGTCGTGAAAGTGATGCACTGAAACCCAAAGACACATGACGTCACACAAGAGAATGATGAAAGATTTTAGGATTTTTACAGTGCTAAAACAGGCATCAACTCGGAAAAAATCTGAGTTCCAGATGAGATTTGAACCCACGAGAACATCCGGCTACATCACGCGCGGAGGGTCGAGGGTTCAAATCCCATCTGGAACTCAGATATTTAATAAAACAGGCATCTCCTTATAATTAGACTTCTGGAATTTTCGCGTTGACTAATTAGGTACCTGACAAAATATTTACTGATAAAATGTATGAATCATTATATCTTATGAAATGGGAATTTTGAGGAAGCTTCATACCTGTTTATCAAGAAAATCCACAAGTTTTCCCAAAGGACAGTTGATACCGTCAGATTTGATCTGCTGCTGCAATGACACCAACTCTTGCGGCTGCGAAAGAAATCAAAAGGAACTCGGCATTTACGTCAAGTACAATTTTCTAGAATTTTGAATTTATCTGCATCGGCAGGAGTTTCATGAACGTTTTAGCGGGAGGGCAAATGATTTTCTCAGGCAGGCAAAACGTTTTGAACTGAAATTCTTTATGCAAATGGTAATAAGACAGAGTGGAGTCCAATTCGGTCTGCAATCATAAGAATGATAAACATAATCGGACGACCGCGCAGCGGGAGTCCGATTTGTTAATCACGAGTATGATTAATAAGAAAAGATTAGAAAGGATTAGAAGAAAAAGGTAATTTTGCCGAATGTAGTTTACCGCAAACGTCACGCTTAGCCTCTCAAATCACCTGATACCGAAGAATCTTTTTGTACAACTCTTCGTTGTCCCGGAAGTAGTGTATAAGCCTCTCTTTCAAGTTGCCTCCATTGACCTTTAAGGAGAAGAAAAATGATTAACACTGAATAAGCTGAATATTGACTGAAACATCATGTCAGCTAGTGACCAGTCAAACCGGTTTGTACCTGTTGGGATGCTGTTATGACATCGTCTTCAATCATCACAGTGCAGTCTCCAAATTCTCTATCTTCCTCGTCACTGGTTCGAGTGGGAGAAAGATGAAAAAAATTATTCGTAAGTACAGTGAAACCTGTATTAAGCGGACCCCATATTAGGCGGACACCCTCTTTTCAGTGGACACCAGCTGAAGTCCCAAAATTTTCTTCCCACATTTACTGTAAAATAAACCTGCATTCAGCGGACACCTCTGTTAAGCGGACGTGGACATCAATATTAAGCCATTTTGTTGCACAAAACCTGCAATAAGCGGACACTTTAAGGGCTTTTTACTTCTTAAGGTTCAGCTGAGACTCTTTTAACATTGTTCAGCTATGTCGTTTCAAAGCTATGTAGATTATTCTAGATTGATGCATTGATTGACTGGACATTGTACTATGCTAGTCTTTGATCTCACACTGTGTTACAAGAGCTAATAATTAACTATTATTACACAACATATTAGAACCTGTTTGGGAGGACACCCAGTGTTAAGCGGACACTAGTCAGGGTCCCAAGGGTGTCCGCTTAATACAGGTTTCGCTGTACTTTCAATGAAACCGTATTTGAAACAAAGTGAACTGGAATAGAGCGGAATTTGGATGATTGTGGGAGAACTAAAAAAAGCGAAAGTCATCACAGCCTTTCTTTAAACCGTAACTCGACAAAAAATAGCCACGCGTACACAACCAATCAGAAAATTGGCGTTGGTGTTGGCAGCAAGCACGGGAAAACATGCAGCATGTGGCAAGCGCGGGAAAAATGTAACCGACGGCGAGCGCGGGAAAACTTTTAACTGTCAGAAAGGGCGGGAGAAATCGCGTACGCCAAATCACGATCAATTTTAAATCTAATTGGTAATTAATAATCTCAGAGGCTAAGCACCTTACACGACTGCGTTTTTTATCAAATTAGTGAGCTCGACAGACGCTAAAACAAAATAAAAATATTGTTGCTATCGGCGACAATATATAATCCAACCTGTTATCACTGCTGGCCGTTCCACTTCCCTCTACTTTATCAACAGTATCCGAGACCGCGACATTGGAAGGCAGCGGCTGACCTTTATTTGGAGCACGTTCCGTTTTATTTGCCTGAGGGCCTGGTTCAACTGTCAAAAGAAGGGAAGGCTTACTTCCAGGGGAAAAGACCATATTCGTATTCTCGGTATTGGACTGGAACTAGCTTGCAAACGAGGCTAATGCGGGGAGTCTTTTAAAATGCAAAATTAACATTAATCTCTCTTCAAAGATAACGCCTCCATTCCAAGCTAGTTCCAGTTCAACACCGAGGATATGAATATGGCGTAATATTGTCAAAAGACAGGTTTTTCAAGTTTTTAGGAGTTACTTTGAAGAAAAAAAGCAAAGAACTTACCCTGGTGTGTGTAATCGTAGATTTCTTTCAGCTTCAAGATCATCTTCTTCTTTGGGAGAGGGCGAACACCAAACTTGTGCAACTCAGTCTGCAAAAGACAGCATATCCAGTGGAATAAACGCAGTAAATTCCCTGCAGTTAAAATTACTTTTTCTAGCTAGTGTGATGTACTGCAATGCGAATAGGTTTTGCTGTAGTGTTCAGGTTATGTTGCTTAATATTAAAAGTAATTTGTTTTCAACGCTTACCTTCAATACAGGTGTGGCCATCTCGTTGTAGTTAGGCATGGGTGTCACTGGTTGTGCCACTGTCTGTCCTGTTGGTTTGCTCGAATGAGTGTCTGTCTTTTTCCCACGATTTGAGGGAGCCTCCTGTGACCTATCATCGTCATCACTGTCCTGACCTCTTCGTTGGCTTAGCGGAATTTTTCTCTTGCCCGCAACTTGTTTTGAACCCTTCTTCTGAGCCGTAACTTTGCCCTCGTTTGATGATCCTTCTTTAGAATGACTTTCTCCTTTGGTTATAACTTTATCGCAATCCTCCAAACCACTCTCCAGATTGTTCAACTCGTCAAGGTCAAAATTAAAACCGCCATCGTCATAAAAATCAAACTCTGCACTCATTGACGCATTCATTTCTGGTTGAGAGCTTGCCGCCTTTTCTCGCTGTGATGAAATCGAAGACTTATTCTCACCTGTTTTCAATTCATTTCTTATGCAATCATCGCTGTTTGTATCGCAGTTATCGTCGTCTTTTTCAAGACTGAAAATTTTGTGCCCACCTCCACGCGCAGCCTTTAATCTTTCCATTAACGGCATGTTTGGATCAATCTCTACTATTTCTACGTTTCGTGGTTTTTCTTTGTCTTTCAAGCTCCGTTCAAAATCCAAATTTTTCACTGCGTCTTTTCTGCTGACCTGAGAACACAAATCCTGCGTGATCTGTGGTCTATACGAACAAACCGACGGAGAAACGGGTGAATTCGACTGCGCCCGGACATCCACTTTTTTCTCTGACGCGGGGGATTTCCAGTTAAGAGGAAGACTTGGTGAGACAGGATCAGCCAATACAACACTCTTTTCTGGCAGTGGAGAAGCGTAAGGCATCGGAGAGCCTGGAGATGACACATGGTCTAGGAAGGAGTAGCTTGGTGAGGGGACTGGTGGCGACATAACATCTGGAATAGAGGAACTGGGAGACAACGCTACGTTTTCACAGATGCCACCTTCAGTCTTGTCCGCGCAAGTTTCTATGATTTCGACATCATTAGGTTCCCCGTAATCAAATTCTTTTTCTCCTAAGCTCTCTCGTCCATAGATATCCGTTAGCTTCTTCCGTTCTTTCTCTTTGGTTTGAGAATTCTGGGGCGAATCAAGTGGTTGATGAAGATCTGGCGACACAGGAGAGGAATTTACAATGGTCACAACGTCAGAAACGCAACCTTCATCTACGGCTATTGGCGAAACACTTTGGGGATTGAAACCCCTGGGGGACTTGCAATTCCCAGGGGGCGTCTGCATTAACGAACCAATAGGGGACTTACAAATCCTGAACGTTTGCGTTGCCACAACACTGGGGGACTTACAAACCCTAGGGGAGATCTGCATTGGCGAGAGACTAGGTGACTTAGTACCCCTAGGAGACATCTGTATTGGCGAGGCAGTAGAAGGATTGGAATGCCGAGGAGACGATAATGGGGACATTCCAACTTGGGCTTCCCGATTCCTCACAGGAGAGCTCTTTGTCGGAGTAGTTTGTTTAGGCGGAATCTCAGCTGTAGATCTCTCAGCCCCACAATTCTTTTTTGCTGTCTTTTTGCTTTGCTTTTTTCCCTTGCCGCGTTCCGCACGCCGCTTCAGCTTAGAGAGAAATTCGTTTGCTTCCTCGTTTAACTCTTTGCGTGATTTAGATGGCGAGGAGCCTGTCACGCTGACATCATCCTCTTCAGTAACAGAAAGAGTCGATGAAGATTTGGTCGAGATGCGTCCTCTCACACGAGGTGTTTCTGGAATGATAGTGATGTCGGTTTTGGGAGGAGAAACATCGAGAACCTGCAAAGAGAAGGCGTGGAGATGTAAAACAAACGAGCTTAGAAAACATCCGAGGAGAAAGGACCCACCCGTGGGGAAATCTGCAGCACGTTTTCCCACGCTTGGCACAGGTTGGATCGAACAACCCCTTCCAAGCGCGGGAAAACATGTAACCGGTGTCAAACGCGGGGAAAATGTGAAGCATGTTTTCCCGTGCTTGGCACAGGTTGGATCGAGCAACCCCTTCCAAGCGCGGGAAAACATGTAACTGGTGTCACACGCGGGGAAAATGTGCAGCATGTTTTCCTGCGCTTGACACCAGTTGCTACCGTTTGTGTTTGATTGGTCCACTGCTTTATTCGCCTTTGCTGTGATGTGATGGGCCAGAACTATATTTTGGCTTTTAAGACAGTCGTCAGGAAAATTGAACGTTTTAAACTTCCAGTTCTGGTAATATGAAAACAACCATAAGACAAAAGACAACAAACAAATGCAATAAAAACAAAAAACAAACCTCTTCCTCGTTATCACTTATCAATGTTATCGATTCATTCAGAGCCATCTCCTCCATTTCGTCATCGCTTTCTACATCATACGGCACGGTTACATCCCTTACGGACCCTTGAAATACCTCTTCATCATCCCACCTGCCATCCCCTGACGGGAGAGATAAAGGTTCATCGGGAAACTTCCCTCTGCTACCCATGCCAATATTAACATAGTTGTTTTTGACCGGATTTAAGTCGGACAAAGTGTCTTGGGTTTTTTCGGAAACATCTTTTCTCTCAAACTCCCCATACTCTACTTCGTTTTCGCCATTTAAAAAATCTGCAGACGCATTGTAGATATGAGTACAATCCGCATCATTTTGCAATTCAAAATCTACTTCGGCAGTTTTCTCTACGTGTGACACTTCTGCATCGGCACCATAGCTCTTCTCCAGATCTCTTTTAACTGTACGTCTCTCACTGCTCTCTTGCATGCGATCTTCAGGCCGAGTCTCGACATCATCCGAGTCGCGTATTGGCTCACCTTCTTGCACGCAAGTACGCTCGATGCTGGAAGCACGTGACATGACACTGTCATCACATGATAGCAACTGATTTCCCTCATAATAGTCTTTTTTGTTTCTCAACTGTTTTCTAAACGTGCTTTCCTCCCGTAGCGGAAGCTGTTCATTTCTAATTATTACATCTTCATCGACGAGTTGTTCCTTTGGGCACGACACTTCTTCCTCCTCTGCCACATTTCCACTGTTCCCACCCGGATTTCGTGCCAGGTTACTTCCTTCAACACGATTGCGTGACACGCGTCCTTCAACAATAGGACTATCCGACAAGTCATCTTTCTCCAAAGGACTACGTGACACGTTACCTTCCACTACTGGACTAACTGACAGGTCTTCTTTCTCCAACATATTGCGTGACACGTTACCCTCCCCTACAGGACTACTTGACAGGTCATCTTTCTCCAAAGGATTACGTGACACGTTACCTTCCTCAACTGGACAACGCGACAAGACGTCATCCTCAAGAGGTTTTCGCAACTTCTGTTCCGTTTCCTCCGAAGAGAGAAAACTCGGTTTGTCGCCTGAAACGTCATCAACAAACTTGCTGGGTATATTATTGCACGCCAAGTCCGTCGATATCACGTCCTCCTCCGTATCGACACTTGGTAGATGCTTTGACTTCTCGTCCTCTTCCTCATCCATTCCCTTTTCACTTCCTTTCCTTTGAAGCGACTGAGTTTGGAAGATCATTATCTCTTCAATATCATCATCATTCAAGAAATCATCGTCATCTTCGTCGTCTTTATTTCTCGTAGTTTGAATATTTTCGCTGGTCTCGTCATCATTATCACTTTTCCACAGATCCTGCTCGACTTGTGCCACATCTGTGGCAATGAAGTCATCCGTCTCATCGTCGTCTACACTCTCGAGCGCTTGCTTCAGCCGGAGCTGAGTTTTCTTGCATGCTGTTAAAAGACAAGGCAGTTTAAACCTGCAAATAAAGAAACAAACTTGGTATAAGGTAGCTGTAAACAGCTGATCACAACTTGGCAGTTTCCCAGAGCAGTGGACACGATGCAACGTTCAAAATTGAGGTCATTTTGTCTCTGTTTCATGACGCACCAATTCAAACCAGCTGAATTTTAGGCCCTGACCACACTACGCCGGAGGAATTTGAAAACGGAGGTTTCACTTTGAAAACCCATTCACATGGTCATAGTGACAACATCGTTTTCGAAAAGCTTCGTTTTCAAAATGTTTCTGTCCGCATAAAAACGAAAAGCCAGCGTTTTCAAATTCCTCCTGTCTGAAGAACGTTCTCGAAAAGCTCCGTTTTCGGTCCGGATTAGTGTGGAAGGTTGGCCTAACCGTAGAAATAAAGCTGCGTTTTCAAATTTCTCTGGCATAGTGCGGACACTGCCTTATGCAACATGTTGTGGGGACAAAATTTTGTCCNGATAAAATACACAGACTATTTTGTGCTGAGGGCATGTGCTTTAAACCAATCTCAGGGTGTGCAATTTCTTGAACAGTTTTGAACATAAATCGATGTTGAAAGCATGGGTCACAATTCACAAACAACAAAGGCTTCAGCAAACTAATGTGAGGATTATCTTTTTCAATATTTAAAGTGAAATGTGACTGTGTGGGTGTAACATTTCACCTTATCTTCCTCCTCATGCTCATTAATACAGAAGCCGCTAGCAGCTACCATCTGCTGGGAGTCCATTGACACATTAGAGATGTCATCACCACCTGCCAGCTCTAACAGCATTTCCACATTAGCAGCTTGAGATGGTGTTATCTCAGGAGGTTCATCATTTTCAGTTGGTGTCAATTGCAACTGTGCCACAGACTCCCCTGTTTTTTCAGAAGCTGCATGGCTGGGTACCTTCTTTGTTTCATCATTATCATCAACTTGTTCATGCAACTTCTTTTGTACAATACTCTCCTTAGCTGGTGATGTTGAAAGCGTGAACTGGTTAGGATGTTTTTGTTGTCGTCTTGGTGAAGCAGGAGGCAAGAGGCCTGGGACATAAAACTTGGTAGAGGACTCCTCCTTTGCCGCAGCTAATGACCAAAGATGACCAGTTTGTGGTGGCTGTCAAGAAACAATAGAGTGTTACACTTACAAACTTTTGCTTTACAGTTAGCTACCTTTAAGACCAAGCAAAGTTCTTTTGTATAGATTATCAAGGGAGGAGTGAAAAGGACACTCTAAGGGAAATGAAAATTGGTTTGAAAAATCAGGTAGTTTGAGTGTAAAATTACAGATAGATAGACACCTTTATTTAAAAGTAAAAGATCTAAAGGTAAAAATTTCACGGTAGTCCCTTCAGGGAGCTTACAAAGCATCTCTGCTATCAATAGGAGCCCTGAAGCTATTACAAAGTACATGTGTATAGTGTTCGACAAAGAGGAGGGAAATGATTTTTGGTTGGACTTAGGAGGTTCTAAAAATCAAAGTTTATTGATGTTTATTAGTCAAGAGAGAATTTCAAGACCCACCTTCATTTCAGTGGGTTGACTTTCTTCAACTTCATCATCATACAAGGAATTAAAAAATGATCTGCTCAGTAAAGGATCAACAACAGCAGTAACCCCAGCAGGTTTCCTTGACCATTCCTCACGCTCGTTTCCACTATGTACATCCATGAGATTATCATCTTCCACCTTATGATCTGATTTAGCTGCCTCGTCAACCTCAGCATTTAGGTCACCTGCAAAATCATTACTCTCCATTTCTTCACCAATAAGATCAACAGGCTGACAGGCTGGAATGTTCTGCGCTAATCGACTTGGAGCAAGGGCAGGTGTACATGATATGTCATCATCCTCATCATCACCTTCCTTCAGAATTTCAGCACAGGAAATGAAAAAAAAAATTCACTGTCAGTTTTCCTTTCTGTGGTCATGCAGATGCCATAAAATATCAAAAATCCTACTTTTTTCCTTTGAGCATACATAGATTACCAATTGAAAGCTTTTGTCATCAGTACCCATGCAGTCACAAAACTGGAACCACCTTAAATTCAATGGGAGTGCACAAGACTCAACAAGAGTTCACTAGAGTTGGCAGTCAAAGGAGGGGTGAGTCTGAACTCTTAACAACCCCTTAAATTCTTGTTTATCTGCAGTGGCCTCCTTTCATTACTATTTACAGCAGTATGGCTCCACTTGTGCATTCCAAATTGTGGAAAAACATAATGCAAACTAATGTAAGTGGGGACAGACGGGTTGGTGTGAGTCAGTCTGGAAAAAAAAGTGTCTCTGACATGGCCTTTGAATAAATCATTTAGAGTACACAATTCAGACCATTTACAAACTGAAGAAATTTTCACAACTTCTAACCACATCAAGCTCAGCAGAGGTGTTCTGATAAAATATTTATTGACTGGTCAGGCCAGACTGGAAAATATCCGGCTCTTGGACAGTATGCTTGGAGCTCACTTCCGCAATCTATATGTCCTGACCTTGAGCCAAAATATATCTTTTTACAATCTGGCCCTCCCACTAGGTTAATAAGCTCTTCATACCAGCTGCAAGCATGTGAAAATGACTGAAAGATAAACATTTAAAAAGAACCATACTGCAGATACTTGATAATACATATTGAATGAAAAGACGCACCCGTGTGCAAAGGACCTGAGCAGCTCTCAACGCCACAGCTCTTTGAGCAGTCTCATCATCTCTGAGTAACAAAGCTGGCAGTTCACTTCCACTGAAGAAAAATATTCCACAAATTAATTCTAAAACAGACTTTTGTCTCAACCGCAAATGTTTGGGCAATTACAAATTTTCCAACTATATGTACACTCTCCCATAAAATTCAAATGTCTCTTCAACAATGGCTAACTAAATCTTCTCACCTTTGTAGCCAGGCCTTATCAACTTAATTGCCTCCTCAAATGCCAAGGCTAGGTTACATTGTTTTCACAGGACAATAATCCAAGTGCATTTTCCATTCAACCAAAAATTCCAAAAATTTCGAAATGGGGACAAATGGTACAGAAATTTCCTGGGAAGGTTTCCAGAAAATTCAGAGCCATTCAATTGGAAATTGAGGGACAAAAGTCAAATGGAACGGAAATTCCCTACAACAAATTTCTGAAAATTGCAATATACCTCACAAGGTTGTCTTCTCTTCCAAAAATTCCAGAAAATGCTATTCCATTCATTACTGAAAATTTCTGGAAATTCAAACTGGAATTTTTCATTGAATGGAAAGTACCCTTGGCCTCTTACATTGGCCTCTTAGTTTCTTCAGTCAATGATTTCTTAGTAAAACTGAAACAAGCCTTAAAGATGTCTTTCTTGTGAACAATAACCTGAGAAGGACTATATGTACATTTTATTGTAAGAGCATGTGGACATTTCTCTAATACGAACAATAATTTGTCTTAGAGTTAATTTAAATGGCATACAATCGAACCTCTCCAAAACGGCCACCTTGGAGACAGAGAAAAGGCCGTTGTTGAGATGTGGCCATTATGGGGAGGTAGGGGTGTAATATGACACCTTTTTTGGGGGGGGGTTTACAACATATATATTTAAAAAATGATTATTGTAGCATAGAAATACCTAACACAATCAAAATATATATTTAAAAAAACAGAGACCAACAATGTGGGGAACTAATCAATTTCATGACCTTTCACAACATATGGTAACCTGAGGTTTTGTATACACCATTCATCAGTCGTTGATTAACTGGCCGTTGTAGAGAGGTTATTTTGGTAGTTTGGGACTTGCTTTGGTAGCCATTACTGTTGCAAAGAGGCAGCCATTGTAGAGAGGGTAAAATAGGAGTGATCGCATGGACCATCCGCTGGGACAAAAAAGTGGTTGTTGCATAGGGGTGTTCGTTAGTAGACGATTGACTGTAATCTTTTTCAACATGCTATCAACACAAACTAATGTTGCCTACAGTGGCATCTTACCCCTGATTTTTCTTTCCTTTCCCCCTCGCACCTTTCCTGATCTGTGCGGCAGGTGGAAGTGGTGGGGCCATGGATGCTGACAATGCCAGAGCAAGCTGTGTCTCTTCATCAAGGTCACTGAGATAAATGAGGAAAGCAGGGTTGTCACAAAGTTTTCAAGTGAGTGGTTGATTTTGCAATATTTTTCTAATGAACTGAAAGCACAACCCAGAAGAGCAGCCATCTGAGGCTACTTTTGACATCCCTGATAAAGTCTTATTTATTTGTATCAGCATTTCATGCATAACTGTCAAGGATACAAATGATACAATAAATAAGTAAATTATTGAAAGACTGAAGAAATGAAACAAATAAAAAATCAAAAGAACAGTCTAACAGGTGACTGCAAATGAACCAACAAATGAATAAGTGGTGGATTAATGTATCAATGAATAAACAAATTAGTTTTTGATTCACTGAGACTGAATGAGTCGCAAAAGAGACTAATAATAAAATATGTTTTAAGAACGAGAGTAGGATCAAATAAATAATAGAAGAAGGGAAGAAAGGATTGATAACCTGTTTTTTTATGAATAATCAATGATTCAATGATTGATTGAATAAAGTATATAACTGAATAAAAGTTATACAAAAAAACAAACAAAGGAATGAATGATGAATGCTGCTTACCATTCATGTGTGACACCTCTTCTCTTTCTGTTAACTCCAGTTGAGTTTCGAGCAGGCTGTACACTAGCTGATAATGCTGTGTTCACTTCAGTGCTGACAGCTGAAGAAGTAGACTCTTCCTGCTGTTTCTCGCGATTTACAATCTCTAAAAGCTGAGTAGTGCCCACTTTAAATTCCTGCGCACATTTCTTGAGATGTGATTGACGAGACTGAAGATTTAACATAATTACATAATTTAGGTTACAACAACAACAACAATCCTTTATTTAAAACAGTTATGTTTCCCTTCTGTGAGTCTCATACTGTGCACGATTGGTTTGGTATGCTGATGAAGCATTCATTTTATGTTCGAGACGCGAAGATCAACAGACTGGCAGTTATCAGTTATAAACATTTTCAGTCATGTAATAAAACTCTTATCAATCAAGCTTGCAAGCTCAGTCTTTTTTGTATGGACCTTGCTGTACTTGGTCCATACTGTCAAAACCTCTGGCTTATATTCTCCCAGTACAGCCCTTGCACTTGGTCAATAAGGTATTTACATATCCCTCAGTGAAGAGAGACACTATGAAAGTAAAGTACCCAGGACTTGAAAAAAGTGCTGTCTGGACATCCAGGACAAGTAGATTCTCCTTCTGAGCAGGCTTTTAGCCAGATGGGTGTCTAGGCATCCTTTGGATGGCCACTTGTTAAAGAAAATTGTTTTATTTTTCATATGCTGCCTTATAAATTATTGTTCATTTGAGCAGGCCCTATAGCACATTTTGGATGGCCACTTTTCAAATCCTGGCTAAAAGCCTGCTTCTGGGCAGGTAACTTTTCACTCTCACTTGCCCGATGGGCAAGGGATCAGGCAATGAAGTCATCTCCCAACTAACTCATTAAAAGAGCAACCTAAGACTTGCCCAGGGCAAGCAAAATTTTATAGCTACATGTACTTCTCCTGAAGGCAAGCTGGAATTCAAGTTTTTTCGAGTTCTGGTACCTTGTCCAAGAACAAAGCAAAACCCTGGCAAGGGCTCTAACCTGGATTGCTCAATCTGGTGTTCAGCGCATAACCATTAGGCCCCTGCACTCCACAATGCATACACCGTAATCAAAGAACGAGGTGCCACATAAATGGGAAATTGATGTTAAATCAAACCAAACTTTTATGTACTACTCACCTTTAAAGATTTGAAGCCTTTACCACAAATAGGACACTGCGGCTGAGATGGAACTGTACTTAATTGCGGCATTTCTTCTACTTTACCAGCCTGATCACAGCATCGATTTATATGCTGTTGGCGGCGTTGTGAATTCATCCTTGACAAATCTTTTTGGCAAAGTTGACAGAAAAACAAATCCTCTCCAATACTTTCACAAGTTGCATCTGATAAAACATTTTCTCTGTTATTGCTATCACAGCCTCTGTCAAGACAACTGTTAACGTGTTCATTAATCACGTCCATCTCATCTTTTGGTAAAAAGTTAAACCTGCATAGAGGACAAACTTGGTTCCTTGAACAGTCTGCACTGTTATCTTGTGGCTTTGTATCATCATCAGTTTTCCTGTCATGTACATTGTCCACTTTATTGTGATTTTCTGAATTCTGCTTCTGCTTCTGCTTCTGATCATTAACTGTCGACAATGCATCATCTGTGATAATGTCTTCTTTGTGCAGTTGATACAAAGATGTTTCTGTCAGGGACAAAGCTTTGGTAACAGTTCCTTTCTTGTTCCTTTCAGATAAATCTGTTCTGTTCCTTCCACATTTAGATCCCACACTGACATCTTTGCAATTCTCCGAACATATTGAAGGTTGTTTCAAGTTATTCAAAGCATTGCGTGACCTCTTAAACTTGGAAACAACATTTGTAAAGCCTGATGGTTCAAGTTCTTCAGAGTCAATCCTCTTGCGCTTATTATTACCTGACTCATTGATAGGTCTTGATTCATCCACAATGGCTTCATCATCACAAAATTCATATGCATCATTTTTGTGATCTCTAGAAGTCCCTGCAACTTCTACACAGTTGTCGCTAATACCGCTAGTATCGTCAGTGCTCTCATCATCAGGATGTACGAGAGCTGACTGCTTTGATTGGACAGCTGTATA